GTGTTTTTTGGTGCAGCGGTTGCCATTTAATTTCAGGGTTTAATTCTTCGCGGTGCTTTCCGCTTGTGCTTTTTGGAAAAGCATTTAACTAGTTTTTTTTTTTCTCTTCACCCAGGAGTACAAGCAGGTACCTGATAGATTCGAACATAAATGCATTTTTATATTTCGAAAAAAATAATCTACAGTATTCAACTACCTCACGAGAAAAAATTGCTCTCATCAAATAATTACATTGCCTTCGGTTTTGCGTTGCGCGCGAATAGATTATTTTGCTGCACGGAAAACACGCAGCTACAGATAACAATAATGACAGAGTGTAATGATGCGTAACCACATAACACATCTCCACTGGCGCACAGGCTTAGAGATATCAAGTTGATTAAAAATGTATAACTTTATATGGATTGTTTAAAAAAAAGACAAAAAATCAAAACATTAAAAGGAAGGGCCACCAAACATTTTTTAGGCGAAGGATAATTTATTTTGATATTAACTACCTTCATGTTAGGCGCAGTTTAATTATGCTAGATCTTTTTAAAAATCATATTTAAAAGGGCACTTTCATTAAAAGGGGGGGGGGGTCGACCCCCCACGGTACGCCCCTGAAGAAATTCCCGTGGAATTACCATTTGAATAGTATGCTATATAAATTGTATAGTGAGCAAAAGTGACCACTGCAACCAAACAAATTTGTTTAACACAAGTATGAAAACTAAACTTACCATTTCATGTCAACTGCTTTACCACAGAGAGGGAAGAACAATGTCAGGTTTTTTCTTCCTTTAGTAAGCTTCTCTACATTTCTTTCCAATGATCTTACAAAAGATAGATTAGGTAATGAAAAGCGACAGTTTTAATTTAACTGTTAAGAATATAGTAATACAATGTCCAGAAATACCTAGGTAGTCTCACTATTATTTTAATCTTCCAATTCGTAGTTTAAACTGCACATGCCTGTATCTAAGGTCAATCGACACAAACATAGCTGTTTGTATATTTGTTTAGTTGATTGACCTTGAAAGGTCACATGTAGTTCAAACTACGAATAGGCTTACTGAATATAGACATAAATTTAAAAAAAAACTTACGGATGAACTTCCAATATATGAAAAGGTATGGTATTTTCAACCCAGGAGAGTTTCCAGTTTTGAAGGGACTCTTGGTTTGTGACATCAGCATCACTGCAACAAAGAATTTAGTTCAGATTGGTTCATTACTGTAGTATTGAATGCTCCTCTTAAACTTCTCATGGAGTAACTTGAAAACGTGGCGCCAGGATTTGCCCGAGGGGCGTCCGAAATCAGGGGTAGCGCC